GGGGCTTAAGTGGAGAGGAAATGTTTTGAGAATGATGAGGGCAATAAATGTACAAATGCACTTTACACATTTGATGTGTGTATGGATTGTGATGAGTTGTATGAGCCCCTAATAAAATGATTTAAAAAAAAAAAAGAAAATGACTGAACCGTTTTAGTGTAAAAAAAAATGTTTTCCTAACATTCCAACACAGACGCCTTCACGTATTTGAGCCTAGACAGCTTTCAGGGTGGCTTCTGCCGAAGTCACAGCAATGCTAACCTGGCTTTCCTGCTTGAATTAATCAGGTAGAGAAGGGTGGCTGCTTCCACAACATCATCCAATTTGCTTTAGTCCCCCCTACTCCCTATTGCCTTTCATTGCTCTTGTGATGTTCTCTGTTGGCGTCCACTGGCCATGAAAAAGGGTGGATTGCCAATGGTGACACTACTGCTCTGGCAGGCAGCTGAGAAGAAGGCAGTCACTGTGTTTCTCCGTGGTTTTCCAGATTCGGTGCAGGACTGTCCACGCAACTGCCACGGGAATGGCGAGTGTGTCTCCGGGATGTGTCACTGCTTTCCAGGATTCCTAGGAGCAGACTGCGCGAAAGGTATTTGCTGGCACTTCCCTACTGTGGTTGGAAATCAGAGGGGCCATAATGGGACCAGAGGAGCCTTCCTAGCAAACCCCACCTGCTCGCAGGCCTGGCCCTTTGGAAATGAGTGCGCTTTGATATATGACAATTGGCTGATGGGCCTCTAGGAGCAGGGCAGTTATCCTTGGCATCAAGGTGTGCTGAGAAGAAAGATGTGCTGAAAATGAGATGACTGGGTTTCCTGTAAAAGCAGAAGTGAATTACCATCACCCCTTTCTTATAATCATTAGCTTCTATATAATGGAAGATTAAGCATCTCAGGGTTAGTAAATTTCATTCATTCTGGCCAGCTACTCTCTTAATCTAGGAAGCGCTATTTATCTTAGTGGAATCGATTTTAAATTGTATTATTAATTTATCTACACTGCTTTGCACAGAATGGCCGGGGCCCTGGGATAGTTGGGGGAAAGGTAGTATAAGAAAGAAAATGAAGCTCACAAGAACAGGGATTTAGGAGCGGCACACCTGCTTCACAGGAGGCTGTCATTGTGACCTTTATGTGCTTTTGACCCGATGCATACACACACAGGTGTGTGTGTAGATGAACATAATTAAATATAAAATTGAGATAAAATAATACTTATCTTTGCTATACCTTTTGCCATTCTGTTCCACATGTCATGCTGGTTATGATCCACCACGTGGAACCCCCATCCACTAATACCATGCGTCCCAGCAAGCAAGTCATGATAGGGAGGTTCCAGGCCTTTGCTCTGAAGTCAGACGATCCTAAATTCCAACCCCACCTCTGCTATCTCGTATCTCTGCGACCTGAGCAAGTGACTGAACATCTCAGGCCCTTGGTTTTCTCATCTGGAAAGTGGAGGTGTTCTCCATTAGACTCCGTGTGAGGGGGCTATGAGAGAGTACCAAAAGCCCTGAGAGAACACTGGGCACATGGAAAGCCCTCAAAGGGAGGGGCCCCTCATCTGAAATTTTATCTAAGCTCCATTCAAAGACTCTCCTGCTTTAAGAGGAGAGGAGGCAATTATGAGCAAACAACACAACAAGCTCACTGCAGTGGAGTCAACACTGACTCACAATACAATGGGACAGAGCAGGACAGCCCGTGTGAATTTCTGAGACTGTAACTCTTTATGGAAGTAGAAAGCCCCATCTTTCTCTCACAGAGGAGCTGGCAGTCTTGAACTGCTGACCTTGCAGATCCACTAGGTCACCAGGGATCCTCATGATGAACAAAGGTGCTCTGTAAATGCTACGAGAGCCACTTTCTTTTTCCCAACCTCGACACACTAGTTCAGGGGGTGGAAAATATGTCCTTTACTCAAAATGCTTCAAGGATTTGAGATTCCCAGCTTGATGAATGCTAGCTGTCTTACCCTTCTTTGGGCTTCTATCAGAAAATACCACACGTTAGATGGCTTAGCAGAACCAAAAAATATTGCCTCACACTCTGGAAGCTAGACATCCAAGCCAGGGTGTTGGCTGACTGGCATCCTTCTCGGGTCAGAGAGATACTGCCCCCTCCTCACCCCTCACTTCCAGGGAACACCATGTGTCCTTAGCTTCCAGCCACGGTGTCCCTGGCATCTCTCCTCCCCCTCCATCCTGGTGTGTCTCCCTGTGCTTTCTCACAAGAAGGATTGAATTAGAACCCACCCATGACCTCCAGCATGAGCGCACATTAACTGAATTGATAGCATCTCCAAAGACCCTCTCTCCAAACAAGGTCATGTGCACAGCTACCAGAGGACTTCAACATGTGTCTGGGGAGGACAATTCAATCCATTATACTGATTCATAGAGGAGTGAGACTTTATATTTGAAGGTGTGCGATGATCCTAAGCCCTAAATAACACCGTCTACCATCAGAGGTTTCTGGTACACCACACAGTGAACATTTGGGTGAGCTTGGAGGAGCTCAAGGGAACAAGAATGCAAAATGCCGCTGAGCTATTCCCATGACTTTCTGTCCAGCCATCACCTCCTCTGCCCAATGGTTTACCAACGCATCACGGAGCCAGGACTCTTACAAGCAGGCAGGAACCTGGCTCAGACTCTGCCCTTGCATGCAAGGAGTAAGGGGAGGGCGGCACACAGCATCCCAGGGCTAAGTACTTTCCGAGCCAGGGCTGTACAGGAAGGAAAACCTCACCCTCATTTGAATGGCCCTTTCTTGGGTAATCTAATTTTCCTGGGAGTGAAGGCATTAATGAGAGGAAGGACAGAGTAGTCCTTTTATATGTGGCTGCAAATGGGCTGAACGCTCGCCTCGCTGCCTGGACCACGAGCTGTAAGTGTGTATTAACACCGACACACATCAATGTATTATTAATCCTAAAAACCATGTGTGTCTGACTGCACATCCAGGGACTGGCCTTTCAGACCTAAGTACCCCGGCCATTTGAGAACTCTTTGCTCTCAATCCATTTGCAGACGAGCGCCCATTCTGCATGATGGATCTGTAATGGGGTGTGCATTTAGCTGCTTAAAAGGACTCTCGGTGTGTGTTTTACATTCGCCACCTGGGCTGTGGCTGGGCGCGCACTCCAGGTGTGCATTGGCCACAGCCTGTCATTGATTCTTGTGAAACAAATATTGAGTGGCCGTTCACAGCCGCTACTCCACCACGCCAGGAGCTGTTCCTGCTATCAGGCCTGCACTTGTTGTATATTTTACTGTAGCTGTTGATGCAAGCAGAGGACCAAGAACTGAAGCATTTACAGAATATAATTGCCTTTCCCTTGCTTCCCCATTGGCTGTTGGCCAAGTTGGCTTAAGAGGGGTACAAATCTGTGACTTCTTTGTCCTGCGACGGCTTCTCCCTTGGTGGTTCTGAAACGGCCACAGCCGATGCTACTCCTCTGGGAGGAACACTGTTGGGCGGACTGTCCAGTCACCTGCCATTCCTAGTGAGCCAAATCGCCCCAGGGCGTTTCCTGTGCTGCCATCTTTACGTCAGCAGATGGGTAGGCCTTTCTCCTGCAGAGCCACAGGGTGGGGTCGACCTAGCAGCCTTTCTGCGACCAAGATGCGTTGCTAGCCATACCAGCTTTCCTCTCATCTAACCTGTCCTTTGCCAGTGTTGAGCTTTCCTGTGCCACCTTCTTTATCCCCACCCCACCATGCGTTCATGAGTATTAGGATGTATTTAGCATAGTTCATGAAACCAGCTCATTATTTTTACATAGATAGGTTCGTGCGTAAAAGAGCTATGTCACACACACACACACACACACACACAATAGGAAAGGTAAAACTAGCATCAACTGCCTTCAGTAAAACTTGCCAGGTAGCTACATAAGCTGTGGGAGTCAACTTCAATTCAATGGGAGCCTTGTATACCGTGGAGCAGAGCATCGTTGGCCTGGTCCCGCGTCCTCCCTGCGACTCCCAGCGCAGGGAGTCTGCTGTTGTGATTGTTGTGCCATCTCACTGAGGGGCTCCCTCACCTGTGCTAAGCTTGCTTCACCAAACATAGTGTCCTCCTCAAGCCAATGACCCCTCCTGGTGATGTGTCCAAGCAAGCCAGCCGGATACTGTGCTGTTGTGCTTCATCGGCTTCTCGTTGCTTCATTTTCGGAAGGAGACCCCTGCTCCTACTCTGGACATGTGCCGAAACCTGTCTACCATATGTGGTACTTGAAATCTCTTCTAGCATAAACTCAAAAAACTCAAACTCCCTGCCATTGAGTCAATGCCAACTCATGGTGACCTTCTAGGTGGGGCAGAACTGGGCCTGTGAGTTTCTGCCACTGTAACTCTTTATAGGAGTTGACAGCCTGTCGTTTCCCCAGGGAGTAGCTGGTGGTTTCAGACCATGCCACCAGGGCTCATTCAGTCTATAGCAGGTGATAACAAGTCACAAGCAGGACACACTCACAGACCAGGGGTGGTAGAAAAGGTCATGCCACCTTTGAGCCCATTCAAGGCAAGCCAGCTTCCAACACATTCATTTTACATCCAGAATCTAGACAGTAGGCCTGAGCACTTACAATCCAGCATTGCTTTGAGAGAAGATCAAGGTTTGAACATCTCATCTCATAACTATTGGCTCCTGAAATTAATAAAATGCTCTAGCTGTCCCCATGGATGAAGAGAAATGCTAGCAGAAATAGGTGTAGAGGGTATATGAGGGGGCTTCAAAAATATTCATAGGAAAAGATGGAGTTAAGAGGTAATGGAACTTTCCCCCCAAATGTTTTTAAAGTCCTATCCTACTAGCCCTGCAAAACCAAGCCGAACTCACACCCATCAAGCCCGTTCTGAACCGTATCAGCCCTATAGGGAAGAGTAGAACTGCCCCTGAGGGTTACTTAGGTGATACATCTTGACAGAAGCAGAAAGCTTCATCTTTCTCCCTCAGGACAGCTAACAGGTATGGCAAGAAGTTCTGTGCATAACCCACAAAGCCACCATAGCATCTACTGCGATAGGGGGCAGATCTGATGCTAGCCCCTAACTCACTCATACTGTTGTAACCTGTGCTTCCAGTTGCTTTTGAAAGAACCTTGGAACGAGTTCATTCTGGCTCAACTTTGGAGAATTGGCATTCGCACGCCAGATATAGTGAGTCAGAAACTACATGATAACAAGATCTTAAGTGAATCTTTTAGATCCCTGTGTGAGTCTCACATATGCATAAGGGGTCTGGTTAAAATGTAGGTTCAGGGTCAGTGTATCTGGTGTGGAAATGCAAATTCTCAGCAAGGGGCCAAACAGCAATGAGCCCATTTGAAGTCCTATCTTAAATAACTATGAATAGTCTTTGAGTATTAAATGTGTACCAGGTATCATGTCGAGTCTATCCTAGAGGACCTTTTATCCATCCTCATATCATTAATGAAGTCAATTCTAACTTTGAAATCACTGTAGATTCACAGAAAAATTTCAAAAATAGTACATGGGATCAACTCAATGGCAGTGGGCTTGTTTGGTATTTTGTTGTTGGGACCTATAGCAACCCTCTGCGTAACAGAACTAACAACTGCTGG